ATGGCGAGGTGCTCCTGGAGCACACCGTGCACCCATCGCGGTAATGCGCCAGATTTGCCAATTTTGTTTCATGGGAGGAACAAAGCGCCGTGGACGTATAAACCTCCACTGGGCGTGCACCCTTCCACTTTTGTTCCCACAGAAGTTGGGCAGTCTTGCTTTAGCCAGGTATGAGGCCCCGTGTCCCTGATGTGAGGAGACACTCTTCGATGACTCCCTACCTGTAGTGTTGCATGTTGGGCGAGTGCCTGGACACATCATAGCGGCCCCACCCCAAATGGTGGTCCAAATGGACGGCGCAAAGAGCTTTTTGTCTGGTTCGTGTGCTCTTCAACTCTGGTATGGTCCCACTTTACTTATTGTAGACATGCTTGTAATCCACTCCCCCTGATATTAAAACCCCCACCACCCTGACATTAGATATTCCCAGTATATTTTAATATATAGGAATTTTCAATGCTAGGGGTGGAATTTTAGGGCAAAGGGATTACCTCATTCGGATTCAGCTCACAGGGGAAGAGCTACAGTCCCCTTAGATTGGGACTTGCCTTGGAATCGCATGGCGGCCTCATTCTCAGGCCTGCTTGCTGACAGAGCTTTTAACAAGTGGGGTTTACTGTTTAGGGTTGTAGGGCTTTTCCAGAGTCCCTATAACAAGGATTATAGGGTTTAGGGTTTATATTGGCCCGCTGTTTATTAGAAGCCTCATGTAAGCTCCTAAGCCACTATGTAATCCACCGCTTTTTGCGTCATTTTCAATTTTTCTGTTGAACGTGATTCTCCATCCTGTAGAATCCTTGTACAGGCCCATGCGTACATACCCCCTAGAGTATAGTATCCCTCTATTTACGGAAGCCCCCTTGATGGTACAATGAAGCCTCCAAACGGGCACTGGGGTGCTTTCCTGGTTCAATAGACCAGTACAGGTCCTTGGAAAGGCTAGAAAGGGCTCTGTAGGGCAATGCGTGTATCTAGGTGTATATGGTTGTTGATCTAAAAGGTTCTTTGAGGAACACCAGAAGAAATTGTTTTCCATGATGGCCATTTTGAGAATAGGACAGATTGTTGATCAAATACCATATAATTAAGGGTTAAGAGATGATACCAGTATTGTAGAGTCAGATGGAGAAGCACGTGCAGAATCAGATTGAAACTGGGGTTAGGAAATGGTTTATAAGGGATTGCATGTAGAAGTCTGAATGATTATCAATGCGCTCTTTTCCCGCCAATACAGTACTACCATTTTTGGGGAGCATTTGCTCTTCGGGAGGTGGAGGGGTTCAGCATTGAGGGAGGTTATTACCACAACCCGGACACGGCCCGTGAACCATCGAGCTTCAAATGTTGCTTTCTCTGGTGTCGTCAGGGTGACGAGCATTGCCTGTCAAAGTCGCATGTATCACTATTTGTTTATTTCCCTGGGCCTGTAGATGGCCGTTATGTCCTGGTCCACCGTACCTGCTTTCTTGCTTTTGAACACATGGTAGTTTCCCCAAATCGGGGGACTCCAATGTAGACCCCAAAATACCATAACCCTTGTTATGGGGACCCTCAAAGAGGTGCCCCTAATTTTGGTAAACCCCTACATCCCTTATCTCATGTTTTGGGGACCCTCAGCCTACGCAGACCTGCATCAACAGTACCCCACGCCATCTGAGGCTGGTGTTTATGGTGGCCTTCTTCATCATCATGAACATCCACCCGCTGACCTTCCACAACTCGCTGATCTTCTTACCAGTGGCTGGCATCTTCATGCTGTTCCTAGGCTGAAGGCCTAGGTCCGTAAGAGGCGGCAGAAACAAAAACCCTAAACCCAAAACCCTAAACCCTACGTAAACCCAATTGAGCCTGATGGCTGCATAGGCCCAAATGTGCCTGCTCCGAAGCCTGTCAGGTTGAGGCTTCGAGACACGCGGTTTTAGGATTTGGGGGTTTCCCAAAATTATGAGGTGATTATAGGGATTAGTAGGGTTTCCCAAAATTAGGGGTACCTAGTATAATGGAGAATCAAATGGAAAAGAAAATGGAAAATGAAATGGAAACTTAGTTTATTTAGGGGTTTATAGGGATTAGGGTTTCCCAAAATAAGGGTTACCTTTTTGGGGGTCCCCATAATAAGGACTATAGTATATTTGGGTCCATATTGGGGTCCCCATATTTTGGGAAACTACCATTTAGGGTTGAGAGTTTAGGGCTTCCAGCATTGCAAGGCGTCTCTGTGAACGTGAGTTGATGTTCTAGAGTGTAGTGTTTATTGAGCCATACTGCATGGAAGCGTATATTATACCATCTTCACCAAACACCAGTCTTGTGTGCACGATTCAGAGGACTCTTAGAAGTCCCTGAACAGAACTTTCGGTTTTCTATTATACTTTCACTTCAAAGAAGCAGCTGAGATTCTAATCCCTGCAAAGTTTTCAGGGAAGGTATATACTTCATGAGCCCTAGAACTCTGTGTGCCTTTGGAAGCGTAGACCAGCAACCGTGATTTGCTGGGTTGTTAAGGAACCCAAATTGAGCTACCAGATTATGGGCACATCAAAATGTAACAGGGTTTCCCTATTGTTGTAACTTAACTGAAGTTCCTTAATTAACAGCCACCCAGTAAACCCCTACATATACCCAGTTCCATTTTCTTGTCCATTTGATTCTCCATGCTTGGGGGAATATTGCCTCTCCCTTATCCCTACATCCTAAACCCTAAGCCCTAAATCCCATATAGGAGAAAGAGAGGGTTTCCTTATGATAGTATCTCAACTTAAGTTTCTGAACAGCAACCTCCCAATAAAATCCTCAACTGCTAGAGTCGTTTCCAGCTTCTTTTCCGTTATCCTCTTTATGTAACACCAATATAGACCCAAAACCCGAACCCTAAACCCTAAATGCTAAACCCTAAACCCCAAACCCTGAAGAGTGTGCAGGTTCAGGGATTGCACTCCCTTGTACGTCTCCGGCGTTGGCAGAGCCCCTTGACAGCTATCCACAGTTGAAAGGGTGCTCAGAGCAGTCAACCCAGGGTTGGGGATGTTGGGCTTAGGGTTTAGGTAGGATCTAGGGTTTGGGGTTTAGGGTTTAGCATTTGGGGTGTAGGGTTTGGGGTTTAGGATTTAGGGTTTAGGGTCTGGGATTTAGGGCTTAGGGTTTAGGATTTAGGATTTTAGGGTTCAAGGTTTAGGATGTAGGGTGTAGGATCTTAGGATTTAGGGATTCGGGTTAAGGCTTTAGGCTGTACGATTTAGGGTTAAGGGTTTATAGGGTTTAGGGTTTACCGCTTAGGATCTAGGATTTGGGGTTTAAGGATTGGGGTATCTTGGGGTTAAATACAGGGAATCATGGAAAAGAAATTGGAAATTACGATAGTATATGGGGATTTCATTGGGAGATTATGTTCACAGAGGGTTAGTAGGGAACAACATTATAAGAAATTATATTCCTGCATTCCCTACTAACCGCCAGTAAGTCAAGGTTGTTGTGGATCTAGGACTTGGGGTATGCGGATTTACGTCTGAGGTAGTACACCATAATGGACTCCAGGGTTTAGGATGGCTCCGTATTTTGACGGCCGTTGTCATGGGGGAATGGGAGGTTCAAATGGAAAAGAAGCATGACAAGTGACTTGGAAGCTGGGTTTTTAAAGGAGTTTATACGGACAAAAAGCAATATTGTGGTCCCAGGTTCCATGTAGAATTATAGATCCCGTCCCCAAGGAATCTTCCCACATGCGCATGTAGACATGGGACCGCGGGGTGGATCCGACAGAAAGCCCGGTTGCGTCAACAACCGTAGAATGGGCGTATGAGCTTGAAGGACGTTTCAACTGAAATGAGGTATACGGTACCTCAAAATGATATTGCTAACTATTTAGGCCCTACTGTACCCTGGCGGTATCTTCTCATATGCGTATGTAGGCACGAAGCTCAATTCTGTAAGTAATCGCAGCATACTAGCAGACACATGAATTCAAAAGACAGCCCAAACTTCCATCATGATTAGCAATCAAGCTCCAATATTCCAGCTTTCAAGCTCCCACCCATAATTATCCTACCCTTGAACCTCCAAGCGGAGGTTGTTTTCATGTGCACTGCCGTGCTAACCTCTATCCTGGCCTACTTGGGAGAGACGCTGGCTTTGGATTTAGGGTCCATTTTATTGGGTACCGCCCCCGCCTAATGACAGTAGAGCCTTTATCAGGGTTCATATGCGGGCATGTGTAAAGCCATAGTTTTGTCATCATGTGATTGTTGCTGGGGACGGCAATGCCTGAGATCTTTGCGGCTCAAAGCCGTTGCGCCATTTCGCAGGTGTGTCAGGATTGTTTGTAATATCCGCACGCGAGAGGGTTCTGTGGCCATTCAGGACCCTTTCAGGCTTCCATGTTTGTTTGGGTGACTCTTGGGTTGGGTCGGCAAGATTTGTTTCGGTTCTGGGTGTCTTTTGGGGGAAATTGGGAGGCTAAGGCCCCATCTGAACTTGGGATTTGATGGCGGTTTAGGTTCAGTGTTTAGGACTTAGTAATATTGCATATGTTCCGAAGACAAAAGGTTTCTTCTGAGGAAATGTTGAATGTCAGGTTGTGTGTGTGCGGGGGTCGGGGGGTGGTGTTTTTAATATTAGTATGAAAGGATGAGGAGATGTACCGTGTGTCGAGCCGCTCAAGATAGCATAATTTTGGCAACGCCCTATAGAGGGAATCTAAGCCTGCATGCACGACCGAATTATTGTTTGATTCCCAGACTAAATGTTTCCAACAATATATTAAAAATGAACCCTGACGCTTAGCTAACCCTACAAAGCTACTTGGATGCTCAAGAGTATGTATGCAATACCAGTAGACTTTCAACGGAGCTTGCTGAATTTGACCATGGAAGCCTGACAGTGAGCTTACTTGGAGGGTTACGGTTAAGAACGGAAATCCCCCTGACCCTAACCCCGCAGAAAACCTGAATAAGGTAATCCCTGTAAAGCCCCTACATTATCCTTGTATAACCCCTATATAACCCCAGTATAACCCCTAGAATATTGAAACCCTAAACCCTAAACTCTAATGGGTCCCCTAAACCCTAAACCCTAACCCCGCAGAAAACCTGAATAAGCTTTCTTTTCCATCGCCTCCCCCTGACCCAACACGCATGTTGGAACCCCAAGAATATAGCAGGAATATGATGGAATGTAAGGACCCTGGTAGGTATATTCCTATTATATACCTACTATATTCTTGGGGTTCCCAGTAGAGTCCCTTTAATGTTACCCAGGCAGTCGAGTCGAGCTCTCTTCAAGTCCAAGAAGAAGGCAGCGGTGGTTTAAGGGATTAGGGTCTAGGGTTTAGGGTTTAGGGTTTAGGCTATTGGGGTTATATTAGGGATATATACATATTGTGGTTATATAGGGATAATGGAAAAGAAAATGGAAACTACTAAGCAGTATATATGTATGTACTGTTTTTATAATTGTTATGAGTTATAATTTTCGGCAATATGTAGGGCTTAGGGTTTTGGGTGCACGGCTCAATGTTCCAAGTTCAGGGTTAAGGGTTTAGGGGCTCTAAGTTATGTACACCGTAGTGCCTGATGAAATCATGACTAAGATTGCTCGCGTGATGCCTTAACATGAAGGTTGTGCTATGTTAGTCGTGAGTGCTGATGTTGCGCTTCCTGCTTTTCCTTGGTCGGATCTGCTTAGCAGTTGCTGGCCTTCCGCCTGGCAGCAAGGAGTACCAGATGCAAAAAAGGGGCTCTAAGTTCCCAAGTCCTTGAATCTTCGGGCGGGCAGAACGTTAGTCCTGCCAAAACAGGGCTCCTGTCATCTGCGAGATCTACCAGGACAGTCGTGTGTAAGAGGCCTCATGCATTTTTGTTTGTTTGTGTGTATGTGGAGTATCCTGGTTTGGTTTGACGCAAAGTTTTGTGGAGGATTTGAGGCAATCAAAGACCATAGAACTGTGCTTGCAGATGTCATTGATACTATGACAAATCTCATATTCTTCATGTCGGAACAACGACAGCACAACTCCAGAATATACGAATAAGACAGTCGAGAAGTTTCATTGCACCTTCCACAGATCGTCTGACATGCGATTATCGCACAGGTCAAGGACAGCGCAAAGAGGATTGAGGGCATCCTCCAAACGCTGATGCCCGCGGAAGTGTTAGAGACGTTGCTTGGTCTCAGGTTAAGAGACTGAACTGTACGGTTTGGCAATTGGGCATTGAGCTCATTGTTCGTGTTTGGCGACATCGGTACATCATGGGGGCGTTCAAACGGCTGTACAATGTCCTTGCAATGTTGATTTGGCTTACGCGTGTTTTTTTTGGGGTGGGGGCTCGGGCTTTCAGAGCACAATTTAGCGGTTGGTGGGATTCGGGGTCCGGGGTCCAGAAGGAGGGAATAGCACACATAGTCCCCCTTAAGTAGATAGAATATGGGGTATATGGGGTTCTTACTATAATATACCCAAAACCATATTCTATCTACTTAAGGGGGACTATAAACCCTATATAACCCCAATCTACTATAGTAGTTTCCATTTTCTTTTCCATTATCCCTACATAACCCCAATATATACCCTAATAATCCCTATATAACCCCAAAAAATCAACCCTACACCTAAACCCTAAGCCATCCCAAGGGGGACTATAGGGATTATATAGGGGTTTTATAGGGATTATATAGGGGTTTTATTGGGGGTTATATAGGGGTTTTATAGGGGTTATGTAGGGGTTATATTGGGATAATGGAAGAGAAAGTGGAAACTACTCTCGTATAATAGGGTTATATTATATTGAGATTACATTGCCACAGCGGCTGCAGAACAGGCGGGGCCTTCATGACTAGCGGGAGGTAATCACTTTGGAACTTCAGTTTATCGAGTCCATCCTCTTCAATAACATCCTCATGAGCCCCGAAAATCCTCAGAAACCTGTTTTCAACTTCATACCTTCAACCCCCAATCCGAAATCCTTCTGCATACCTAAAACACGCGGCCCCTGAACTTCCGAGCTCCCTAAACTACAGCGACCTCACCCCAAATGGTAGTGTATATAGATGTTATCTCTAGTGTGGCCTTATTTGAGGATTATGGCTATCCTTTGTCCTATATAGTCCTTCTTAAATAGATAGAACATGGGGTATCTGGGGACCTTGTTATCATAAAGCCACATTCTATCAACTTCAGGGGCACCCTACATCCATCAAACATTGTTCTTTGATGCAAGGCTCCACAAACTGGGACCAGGCATGGGGATTGGTTTGTGGCATGGGGGGGTTTCCCAAAATTGAGGGTACCTTTAGAGGAACACAGGGGTTATATACGGGTATATAGGGGTATATAGGGTGTAGGGTTTCCCAAAATTAGGGGTACTGTGTTAGGGTTCCTTTAATCAGGATCATAGTATTTGGGGGTCTAGATTGGGATCCCCTATTTAGGGGAAACTGCCATGTGGCAAAGGGTTTGGGGTTTGTTTGAGGTTGAGACTTGAAAGTTGTAAGGGGCCCTAGGTTCTGTCGTTTCCAAGAAGGTGCTGTATGGAGTCAAAATCATCCCCCCCCCCCCCCCCCCTCCCCCATAGATTCCTGAAGGCCCCTTTAAATCCCCTATACCCTGGAGTCCACAAGGGTCCTCGATTTTAGGAACTCCCAATGTTACATGGGGGCCATGTAGGTAACTTGGTTGGCTCAAAATACTCGTCTTGGATGTTCCTAAGCGACATGTGAAGTAATTTATCCCATCCCCCTGACATTAAGTGCCCTCCCCAGCTATAAGAGACCTGATATGTTGGGAGATATTCAAAGAGAAAGGGGTGGGGGGCTGTTCAATACTTGGGGGAAGGGATTCGGTTCCTTTCAAGGAGTAGGGAGTAGGGTAATGCTTGATGGTAGCTTCCTAAAACAGGGGGATCCCCAATCTAGACCTGATATCCTATACTCCCTTTTATAGGGGCCCGCAAAAAGGTACCCCTAATTTTGGGAACCCCCCTTACAAACGGGAGGATGCAGGAATGTTGAAGGAGGGTTTCTGGGATGCATGGGAGGGCCTTTGGGGTTGATGTTCAGGACGTGAACTAAGTTAGCATCACAACGAGACCCAGGAAACCTTGTCTAATCTACCATATAATATATCCGGCTTACGGTATTTTCATTTACGTTCCTTGATGACTACCCTGGTCCTTGGGGACATCCTCTGAGAATGGGCTACGCTTTATGATTGGCCTGTTGTTTATATCAGCTTATGTGTTTGTCTGTACTTGTCTCACTTGCCCGGATTGGGGCTTGGCATGTTGAAAGTTTCTGCTTCGCTGTCTTCCAGAATCTACGGCGCTGTTTGAACCCAACCAAATTTTTGCAGACGTGTCCGCACGGCTTACCAGTAGAAAGCGTCGTAAACCTAATGGAATCCCGAGAAGCCGCGTAATTTCCAAGACCCCAGCTATACGTCAAGTCTGAACCTTGAACCCTGCGAACCAAAAACTTCAAGTTGAATTTGTGTTCCGACGTGCCTTGAGGCAACACGCCATCCCATCACTACAACCAGGCAAAGCTAGAGTGGAAGGGCTTGTGACTTTGGGTTTCACAGCTTGAGGATGCCTGAGGGATGATGAGGCTGTGCGCCAGAATGATACAGAGCTGGTGTGAAGGCTGCAGAGAGATCGTTATAGGTTTTCGGGACTATGTGTGACCAGCTCGATCTGGCGCTTCCTCACAAATTTTGAGCCCCAGTTGTTGGTTATTTTGGGGCCCTGTGGAGGGCTATGGAAAAGAACACAGTGACCTCGGAATTCTGTCTGTAGGGTATGTGGGAACTCATGTCAGCAAGTATCTTCGCCAGCCTGAACAATGCCAGTACATCTTACCCATGCTAAGGAAGTTTCAGGTGTGTGGTTTCCTCCATTTGTGCATGGCCCTCCTGTATCACCCAGTCAGTTTCCCCATATTGCCTTATGCCTTATGTAAACCCCACCCATGCGCGGGCAACCGCCCGGCAATTCTGCACTTCAAAGTTCTCAATCCATCCCTGCTTGCAGTGCTACTGTACTGCTTCTCTTGCGAACCTGTCACGCTTAACATTCAGCATGGTGATCCATGGGTCTATGATGAAGAAGCGGGAAAGTTCTCTAGAGTAAAGGAATGCTTGGGAGATGGCGACCTTTCATCGTACACGCCCCGGCGCCGACCCCAGTCCATGTTTCGAAAGGAGAATGTAGCGTGGAAGTGCACAGTTACCCTTTTAACAAGATTTTCTTACCTATTGCTGGTGACAATCCAGAAAGTGAGGGCCACTCCCCCAGTCTTGTCGTCGCTACTTTGTCTGCCATTAAGGGAGCCCACCACTCAGTCAGACCTCTGCGGTTTTACCCAGTTGTCGGCAACCAAGACGCGCGGCGGCACTCCCAGTTCTTAAGCGTCACTCTTTAAAGTGGCTAGATAAGGGATATCTAGGGTTGTATTGGGCAATAAAATGGTTATGCTAGGTGATCTATGCGGTCATGAAGACTTCTATACATCTGCCGTTCCCACTGCCCGGCAGGAAAGCTTGCCTGCTCGGGCCAGTTCTGGCTGACACTGCAGGCATGTGGTCACTAACCCATCACGAAGGACAGAAAGGGGCGGTGGGAACCTGACCTCCAACCGGGGCCCCAAGGATGATTTCGGATGGGCGGAGGGATGACGCCTGACCCATGGCCTTCACACCCCAGCCGTTATCCATCCATCCATAGCCCGAAACCCGAGGGTTTTGTAAGATCCTTTCGGGAGGCAATTGGTGTCCGTGCCGATCCCTGCCCTGTCGTCGGATCAGACAATGTCAGATCTTTTGTTTCGATGACATGCAATTACTAAGCGCGCCCCCTGATAATCAATCTTGCCCAACTATCGTACTCATTACAGTGGCAGGGGGAGGCGAGGTTTATTATGAGGGCAAGGGATTACATGTCTTGCGCTGTAGGAGAATGTTTCGAAACTGGTCAATTGGAAGGCTTAACTATTTCATATTTAAGAGAAAATGATGCATTTCACAGCGTTTTAGATTATTTGCCGCCCAAGAAACACGCACGAGGCACCCACAACACACAAAATCGCAAACAATCATTAAAACAAACCACACAAAACAACATGAAGGTTTCTGAAAATGTTCGGGCTTTAAGACGTCATTGGTTGAAAAAAAGAAGGCTTTGGGTGTGGTAAGTTGACGTCATAAATTCTCGGGGCCTCAGCACAACAGGCCTTACATGGGAATATGGCAGCAGAAAGGGGCCCCAGGCAGAATCCTTCTGGGCTCCCTTATGCACCCTGAACACGCTCTAGAATGGGTAGAACCCAAAAATGCTAGCCCTTTCAAGAAAATGCTCGATGTCTTGAATCCCGCGCCCGCCAAGTTGTTTGGCATTCGGAGGCACCGTCCCGCACGAGATTTGTCAATCGTCTGCGTGGTTGTGTAGGAACTTTCGGCGCTTAATTATTACGAAGTAGTTCTGCTACCCGGGTGCCCACATATCATAGTTTCCTCGTGTTGTCTGACACGTCCCTTGATGGCCCGGAAAGACTGGGGGCTTTGAAGGTTAGGCAGCACTGCTTGAGCAACTGCCTGTACGAACTCCTGGTGATGATGAACTTCTTGGTGGTGTTCATTACCTTGTAGTTGTGGGCCTGGGATTGCCATTTCTGGGAGCGAACAGTACACAGTTCAGCTCGTGCAGCCAGGGGCTTAGCTTGCAGAGTAGTTTTCGGGCGCGTGATGGAATGGGCAATATCGCAAAATAGTCATAACATCAACACGCCAGCGAGGCCGGTCAAGAAACGTGAACGAAGGCAAAGATCAAGAGCCCAACATTTGCGAGTGCAAAAAGACACTGGTGGACACTGCTTTGATTAGTGGGGATGCCCCGACTGGCCTCTTGGCCGTATCAAGAGCCAGAAAGGCAACTCCTTGTGGTTTTTGCTTCAGGATCTGGGTTTCGCGTTTTTTGTTGCCTGTTGTTGTTGCAACTGTTGCTGGCCGCTAGTGGCCAGAGCGGAATCTTTGTTTATCCCCAGCAATGTAATGCGGACGGAGCGTGCTAAGATCTGGTGGGTCCCAGCGCAGAAAGAGGCAAGTGTTGGGGTCTAAGTGGAATCCCGAATGTAGGAAGACGGTCTTCTGATAGTCCTTAGATTCCTTAGATAATGATATAAGATGCCATATTACAACGCACCCCCCCCTACGTGATAGCAATTGAACAAGCCTCTACATTGCTTGCCGTAGACATGCTTTATGTCTTGTGAAAGCAGACAACCCCGTATGTGCAACCTGGACGTTGAACTGGCCTCAACTGCCAGTCTTGAAGCATCCAAAATCCCTCCACTTCTTTTTTTCGTCAGATCTAGCAAGATACTGAATCGCAACACCTCAGCTTGAAGCCTGAGCTATACTTTGACGCCCAAAGTAGGTATAACCCAATTGTATTTGTAGCGCTGTAGCTATAACCCGGTTTCAAGTGTTCATAAGTCCCGTGTGGATGCTTATGTGTTTTACATATGAGTCTCCGACCTTATTGGGTTTTAAACCCCAAGCCCTTGTACTCCTACATGCTTTTATGCAGCCTGTTCAGAGGAAGTCGTACAATCTCTTTTAAGCTCGCCTTAGTTGGGTCCTAAAGACGGTGCCCTGCTAAGCAAAGGACCCCCCACGAAGTGGTCGGCTTCATGGGCGACTTATTCGGAAGGCAAGCACTGAGGGTACCCGTTTATGGGGAGGTTAGAAAGGGGGTTGCAGAGGGATGTATAGGAGTATGTAAAGCCAACGCAGGGTCATATCATATGACCCTGCATTGGCCCTACATACTCCTGTATATCCTTCTACTATATGATAGAAGTACATACTGTCACAGGGCTTCGTAGGAAAGACCCCAAGTTAGACCCGGGTAATATCCTGCAGTGTTTTGTTTTACTAGTATGGATCACAGTACGTTCTGTCTCGTTTTGTGCCGACCTAGCTACTGAGAGGGTCTGAACCATGTCGGGCCCTGTTCCTTACTGGAAGACATAGAGGAATAGACCAGCAATTGTACCCTTTGTCCGGATTTCAGTTTTCAGGGCAATGGATAGGGGGGATTACAACTTCACAGGAGTTACAGAAAAGCTCAGTAGGGAGCGATCGCACTCACCGATCGGCAGCCAAAGCCCTCAAACTCATCCTAAACATCATGCACCGTTCTGAAAAACCAAGTAGCTTCACGTTATGTTGTGTTGAGGTGGGTATTCAGAATTTTAAATGTGGACCAGTGCATCAGCGGTAATTATCCACCCATGTCTTGCCGGCTGGCAGTGCGCAGCTTCACCCTTTGAAAGCCAAAGTCGTTTCCTTGCACAGCAGAGAAACTCCAGATCTCAGGAGATGGGGAAACATGCTGTATCCCTGGTAGCTCAAGCGTTGTGAGGTTATTTTCATCCATTCAGTTCTAATGTAGAAACCTGACTAGTTACCAATATTGTTCTCATGTAGGTCCCCACTGGTAAATGGAGGAAAGGGGTCTCTTTAGTAGTCATGTGATCTCATAATAGCCGAATCCCGCATTCCCTGCTATCAACTCGCCGCCAGCAGATTGGGGCTACAGGCTTGAGAGGGGTTAGTTGGAAGTTGCAAAAAAAACCCTAAACCCTATACCCTAAACCCTAAGGAGGAGTCCTTGGGGTGACAGCCTGGCTTGGACCGGCTCCAAGACTTCAAACTTCTCAAGGTGATATAGGGTCATATTCGGGTTAGATAGGGATAATGGAAAAGAAAATGGAAACTACTATGGTATAGGGTTATATAGGGATTATACAGGGATTATATAGGGATTATATAGGGATTATATAGGGAATATATAGGTATAATGGAAAAGAAAATGGAAGCTACTATTTAGGGTTTAGGGTACGATAAAGGGGTTATACATTTTTTTGCAGCTTGATAGGTTTGATGCCCTGGCCAGCGAGTTTGGCATCTACAAGGTTGAAACAGCAGCTGGCTCAGATTGAAGCCTGGGTGTGGGAGTGGGCTTTAGGCTTTATCCAGTTTGAACCTGGCCGAGAGCTGTCTGACAAAAAATGCACTGCACAGTTGTCTGCAAGCAGTGCATGCTGGCTTACATGCTTTCCAAAAGTGGGGTCACCTCCTCTAGCCCCGAACATTCATCCCTTAGCATCTGGACCCCCGCTTTAGGAAACCCTAAATCCCAAATCTCAGACCTCAATACTTCGACTAGACTCCTCCTAAAAACCCTAAACCCGAATATTAACATCTCCCTGTATACCCCCCCCCTGTCATCTGTTTAAAGGGACGCCTAGTTTTTGCAAATCCCAAACGTCGCCAAGCCCAGCCTAGCCCAGCTGCTTTCTCCCACCAGATACCTACCCCACATGAGCCATAGTCGAAACTCCTTAAAGGGGACTATATAGGGGATGATATAGGGGATTACTATAGGGGTTATTAAGGGGGATACTAGGAGTTTAGACAATGGCTCACATGAGTGTTACCAAGGGACCATTCATTGCTTAGGATTTAGGGTTTAGGGGCGA